GGACTTAGTGTTGGGGAGGGGTTTGCAAGAATCTGGAAGCTTGTGTGTTTTTTTTCTGCATTTTTATGATTTTCTGTGACCATTGGGCCACTCTGCTTTTTTTAAAAAAAATTCTGGATTTGAATTTCTGTGTGGTGGGTGGCTGGGGGAACAGTTGAGGAGGGGTTTGCAAGAATCTGGGAGCTTGTGTGGGTTTTTTTTGAATTTTTATGATTTTCTGTGACCATTGGGCCATGTTTTTTTTTTTTTTTTAAAATATCTGGATTTGAATTTCTGTGTGGTGGGTAGCTGGGGGAACAGTTGAGGAGGGGTTTGCAAGAATCTGGGAGCTTGTGTGGTTTTTTTTGAATTTTTATGATTTTCTGTGACCATTGGGCCATGTTGTTGTTGTTTTTTTAAAAATGTTTTTCTGTCATGTTTAGAAACTTAATTTATTGTTCCTTCAATTTTTGAAATGCTCTTTACAGTATGTGTGACTTTAAAGAGAACTTAATAAACTCTTGTTGTACCAAATTTGGCTTTGTTTGGACTTTTTTTGACCATAGGAACGCATTAATTGAATTTCAATGCATTCCTATGGGATTTCGTGCTTCGCAAGACGAAAAATTCGCTAGACGAAAAAACTCACAGAACGAATTAATTTCGTCTTGCGAGGCACCACTGTATATTACCTACTATTTAATGGTTTGTGACAATATGCAACCTTCCCGCAGAGCCAGAAGCTGGCCATAGATGAGAGGCGCTCCCAAAAAACAGCGAGGTCTGAGCATGGCACACTCACAACACAACGGCTCTTTACAGAAATAACTTGGCAGCCCTTGTGTTTGAGTCTTATAGAAAATATCTTTTTTAATTTAAATGGGGAAAGGAGTTCATTACACAGGTGAGCTTGTACGTGGCTACAGGAGATCTTCGTGGCAGCATACAGGCGCTCAGGGCTGAGGGGTCAGGCACTTTGGCCTAGCGCGTCAAAAAGCTGCGGCGGCCATTTTGCGGGCTGGCCTCTCTCCCTCTCCTTTACTCTGTCTTGTCCTTGTCTCCTTTCTCCTCCTGGAGAGCCAGGAAACGTTCTCTCTCCTTGATCAGCTGCACACCGCAGTAAGTGATGAACCATATGGATAATGTGCTGAGGGGGAAACCTGAGGAGGAGAGCGAAGGAGAAGAGATCAACATGGCCACAGGGCAGATATTTCGTAGCTGGCCAAATAGTGTCTGTTGAGGAACCGGAATGTTATGAGAGAATGAGCATATCTGGGCCACAGTTTTAGACTGGTTTAGCAGTCATTCCTTCTCTGTACATGCTCACATGCACCCTCTACCCTTGGCCCAAAAGACATGCTCAGAGTTCAAGGACAAATTCCAGATAGGCAAAAACAGTGAGAGGTGTGGCTGGGGGGAAGTCCTGAGGGACAGACAGAGAGGATTTGAGGGGGCCCATTTGGACCCTGAGCCTGAGGTTCCCCACCCCTCTCCTTCTATTAGCCCCACCTTTCTCACACTTGGGCCCCTAGATGTTGTTGGACTACAAATCCCATCATCCCTTGCTACCAGGACCAGTGGTCAGGGATGATGGGAGTTGTAGTCCAACAACATCTGGGGGCCCAAGGCTGAGGAAGGCTGTGTTAGCCTGAGGTCCCTCATACTTTTAACCCAGTTCTGAGGCAGAGTTTTATGAGAGGATGGAAGGGCCTAGGACGCCCCCCACAGGGACCAGGGACAGAAGAAGTAATGTGTGCTACTGAAGATAAGTAAGGAGGTCAAGAGGCCGAAGAGTCTCAGAAACAGCAGGTGTTCACTTCCAAATATCGATCCGCGTCTCTAGTGGGTTTGTCATGTAAGCTGGCTAACGGGTGCAGCCATGGTAAAGATGGTTTTCAGCCCATCGAAAGGGGTTGCTGGAGGAACGTTACCTGTTTGGAGAATTCTCGTGGCAACGAGAATGGAGAATTCGAGGCTATTGAGGGCAAGGATGTTGTACAGGACGATAGCCCAGAAGTTGGCTGCCCCAAAGAAGCCTCTAATCCGCCGAGACATTGCCTCCGACATTCTGGCCTGCCCGGGAGAAGAGACTTGTGTGAGAGTTTCTCATGGGCATAAGTTTAAGGGTTAACACACAACCATAGCAAGTATATCCACTTATAAACGTCATCTCCAACTCCTCGAAGGATTCCATCAACAGTGTCTCCGAAAAATGTTACACATCACTTGGGAAGACTTGTGAGCTAATGCCAGTGTACTGGAAGAAGCAAAGATCACCAGTGTTGAAGCAATGATTCTTCAACATCAACTTCGTTGGACTGGTCATGTTGTTCAGATGACTGATTATCGTCTTCCAAAGCAACTACTCTATTCCCAACTTAAAAATGGAAAGCGTAATGCTGGTGGTCAACAAAAAAAGTTTAAAGACTCTCTCAAGGCAAATCTAAAAAAATGTAGTATACACACTGACAACTGGAAAACACTGGTCTGCGAGCGCTCCAGTTGGAGAACAGCCTTTACCAAAGGTGTCATGGGCTTCAAAGACACTTGAACTCAGAACGAAAGGGAGAAACGCGCTAAGAGGAAGGCACGCTTGGCAAATCCACACCGTGATCAACTCCCACCCGGAAACCAATGTCCCCACTGTGGAAGGACGTGTGGATCCAAAATTGGCCTCCACAGTCACTTACGGACTCACTATTAAAACTGTTTATGGAAGACAATCTTACTCGGCTACGAGTGATCGCCAAAGAAGAAAAAGATGACAAGTGTATGCCGTAACGCCAGTAAAAGATCCTTAACCTCTCTGCAATGTGTCTACGAACATATGCTAGTGTTGGCTGCACACATGCAACACAATAACATCTGGAGGTATCTGCACCCTCAGCCCAGCGGGTCTTAAGAGTCTAGCAATGCATTAAGGACCAACACTTATACCTCTATGGCAGCAAATGGCTTCAGCTGAAAGAACTGCTGCACCCACAGCTCAAAATTGAGGCCAAAGCAGTTGCAGATGGACCAGATGTAAACTATTTCGCAAGGACCAAGCCAGAGGGTGGTCACAAGAAAGGTGGCGATGGTGGCTACCAGCTCCTTCAAGATGTTGTCATGATTGCCCCCGATATAATCGTAGACGTACCTAGGAATCAAAGCACACACACACACACACACACACACACACACACACACAGTGAGAAGGTTGGCTCGAGGTTTCATGTCCCCAAGATGGAATAAGCTTCTTTTCTGCTGCTCCAGAGGGTAGAACCTGAAGTTGACAATTCTATGATTTGATAAGGACCTGACGGACCAGGTGCGCAGCCTGGGAGTCATTCTGGACTCACAGCTGTCCATTGAGGCACAGGTCAATTCTGTGTCCAGGGCAGCTGTTTACCAGCTCCATCTGGTATGCAGGCTGAGACCCTACCTGCCCACTGACTGTCTCGCCAGAGTGGTGCATGCTCTGGTTATCTCTCGCTTGGACTACTGCAATGCGCTCTACATGGGGCTACCTTTGAAGGTGACCCTGAAACTACAACTAATCCAGAATGTGGCAGCTAGACTGGTGACTGGGAGCGGCCACCGAGACCTACACTGGCTCCCAGTACATCTCCGAGCACAATTCAAAGTGTTGGTGCTGACCTTTAAAGCCCTAAATGGCCTCGGTCCAGTATACCTGAAGTAACCCCCATTGTTCAGCCCGGACACTGAGGTCCAGTGCCGAGGGCCTTCTGGCGGTTCCCTCACTGCGAGAAGCCAAGTTACAGGAAACCAGGCAGAGGGCCTTCTCGGTAGTGGCACCCGCCCTGTGGAATGCCCTCCCACCAGATGTCAAAGAGAAGAACTACTACCAGACTTTTAGAAGACATCTGAAGGCAGCCCTGTTTAGGGAAGCTTTTAATGTTTAATAGGTTATTGTATTTTAGTGTTCTGTTGGAAGCCGCCCAGAGTGGTTGGGGAAACCCAGCCAGATGGGCGGGGTATAAATGATAAATTATTATTATTATTATTAGGTAGAAATGGCAGGCACTAGATGAATATTCCCTTATTTCTCCACCACCAACTGTGAATAGTTTGTTATGAGAGCAGGAAATCTCCCAGGGACCCCAAGAAACATTAAGTGCCATCGCAGGAAAGGAAACTTACTTGCATAGCCAGTCGTTAATCCCTCTGTCAAAGTGCCTGCGAGACAAATGCAAAAGTTAGATTAAAAAACAGAAGCTTTTGCTTTATTTGTTGCCCCTGATTCCACATCTATTCCCTCCAAGGCACATGGCTACTGCAAAGTGCTCTAAGCCCATGGGGGAAGTAACACCAGATTTTATTTTATTTACCAATTTATAATTCAAGTTTTCATTTAAAAAAAATCCAGGCGCCACACAGCATGCAAGAATAATATCTGCAAAAGGCCTCTGTAAAAACATTGTTGAAAACCTCAGTAAATACTGATTGGTTAAGAAAGAGAAACTTCGTGTTTCAAAGGCCTGTCTAAACAATATATACGGCAAGGAATCTTTCATGGTTCTCAAGTGTGCCTTTAAATGCTGCCACTTCCACAGTTCAAGGTGCCTTTCAAAGCCAGTCAGAAGAATATAAAAATACCAAAGGCAATGAAAAGCCCACAATACCATAGAAGCAAACAGTGGATTTAGAGTTATTGGGGAAATGAGATATTTATTTTCAAGAGGCAAGCTTTGAACTGTCCCTCTTAGAAACAAGGTTTGTGTGTGTTCATGCAAGGGGTTCGATAGTCTATTTATTTTTCCGATGGCTGTTCAATGGCTTTGTTTTATTGACTGTTGCTGCTGCATTTTCATTGACTAATTTTTTTGGGGGGGGGGCTGGAAATAGTTTTACATTTTCCATAGTGTTTGGATTCCGCTTGAAAGCAAAGAGCACAAGCTCAGTCGGTAGAGAATCAGATTTTTATTCTCAGCGTTATTCTTAAGGTCCATGAATAACCATAGTTTAGAGGTCCCGGGCCCTAAGGAAGTCAGACTATCCTCCACCAGGGCCAGGGCCTTTTCAGTGATGGCTCCGACCTGGTGGAATGCTCTGTCCCAGGAGACTAGGGCCCTTCAGGATTTAACCTCCTTCTGCCGGGCCTGTAAGACAGAGCTATTCCGCCTGGCCTTTAATTTGAATTCAGCCTGATCATTTATTTCCCTTCCCTTCCCTCCCCCTCCCCTTTTATGAAGATTACCCACTCTGAGACCCCATAGCTAATTCTCCCCTGGCCTCCTCACTGGCCCAAGTAGGACCAATTCAGCCAGCTAGCCCTGGTGACTATTTAATGCTTATTGGATGGATTTTCCCCAAATCGATTTTTGAAGTTTTTTGAATTTTATTGTTATTCGTGCTTATACTGTATTTTATGCTGCTTCTATGTAGTACAGTCATACCTCGGGATAAATACGCTTCGGGATGAATATTTTCGGGTTGCGCTCCATGGCGACCCGGAAGTAACGGAGCGTGTTACTTCTGGGTTTCGCCGCTCGCACATGCGCAGACGCTCAAAATGACGTCACGTGCATGCGTGGAAGCGCCGAAACATGACCTGCGCACGCGAAGATGCGCGGACACGTGTTACATTCACTTCGGGATGTGAACGGGGCTCCGGAATGGATCCCGTTCGCATCCACAGGTACCACTGTATTACAATTAAGTGTTTTAATTGACGAGCTTTCGAACTGCTAGGTTGGCAGTAGCAGGTACCGAGCAATGGGAGCTCACCCCATTGCGGGGATTTGAACCGCCGACCTTCTGATCAGCAAGTCCTAGGCTCTGTGGTTTAACCCACAGCGCCACCCACGTCCATTTGTGTGGGACATAGTTAACTCTTTATTAGCAAAAACAGATTCTGCGCAGGAGTAGTCAGGCCTAAAGAGCACAGCAACTAATCTCTGGCAGGTCTTGCCTCCATGAAGCAGTTCCTAAGGCTGACAGTCTCCCCCCGCCTTTCCACAGCTGCCCAGGACAATCTCCCGAGCAATTGGAGACTGTGAAGATATCGGTGAGTATACTCACGTTTCTGCAAAGACGTAGAGCATGGTGATGCATTTGGGCGGCTGAGGGGGGTCCAGGTGATCCAGCCTGGCGATAGTGTTGATGACCCCAAACATCACTGCGGCTTTTACCCAGTCGTAGACCAGGTTGGAGTAAGCCAGGCCAGCTGCGGGACAGAAGAGGAAGGAAAGGGGCAGCAGGTTGACGTACAAGGAAGCAAGGGCACAGGACTACGTGCAGAATTTTGGGGAACTGGTTTGGATACAGAAGGTCCCACGTTCGGTCCTCAGCATCTCCAGGTAAGACAGAGGAAGACTCCCTATATGAAAACTGCCCGTCAGTGTAGACAGGTCTGAGCTATATGGGTCAATGTTCCGACTCAGTATAAGGCAACTTTCCATGTACCTATGGATGGACAAAGTCGTCTGTGTTTCATGTCTTTCCAGTGTTAAATCCAGTTCTCCACATCTGCTCAGAAATTTAATATATTTTGTTGTTGTTTTTAAAAAATCGTCCTGAAAATCCACCCACAATTTAATGCAAATTTCTCCTAAAGTACGGATCTTTGTGGGACATGGGTGGCGCTGTGGGTTAAACCACTCAGCCTAGAGCTTGCTGATCAGAAGGTTGGTGGTTCGAATCCCCGCGATGGGGTGAGCTCCCGTTGCTCGGTCCCTGCTCCTGCCCACCTAGCAGTTCAAAAGCACGTCAAAGTGCAAGTAGATAAATAGGTACTGCTCTGGCGGGAAGGTAAACAGCATTTCCGTGCACTGCTCTGGTTCGCCAGAAGTGGCTTAGTCATGCTGGCCGCATGACCCTGAAACTGTACGTCGGCTCCCTCGGCCAATAAAGTGAGATAAGCGCTGCGACCCCGGAGTCGGCCACGACTGGACCTAATGGTCAGGGGCCCCTTTACCTTTACACATCTTTGTATGCAATTTTGACTAGTATACAAACTTTTCTTTGCATGCTAATGTATGCATTTTTGCACATGTTATCTGGCGTGAGGACTGCAATGCAAAATTCGGAGAAGTGAAAATTTCAAAGGAGAATTTTGCTTTGTTTCGCTGATTGGTTTGAGAAGTGTGAATTGGTGTCTCATGAAAACGCAGGCCACTCCCAACATCTTTTCCCCATCCCTGCATTCTACTGGAATGTCTCCCGTGAAAGTAATCTTAAGAGCACGTGGGAATGATCTATGTGGAAATCACGCTGGAAAGAAAATAAGAAAGGGGCTTCCTTTATTCCCCGAACACAGAACGGAGGACTCACTCACCCAACGCCCAATCTGAGAGGTGGTTGACAAACTTCATGTCCGAAGGAAGGGTCAGGATATAGAAGAAGTGGAAAAAGACATCCACTGCCATGATGGCCACAAGATGGACGAAAGCATGGACACAGATGTGCCACATCTCATAGTCTTTGCGCCGCAACTCACTGATGTGCACCTGTGGTCAGGGAAAATGGGGGAGATGGAAGGACGTGTGCTTTGTTCATGGACCCAGAGAGAACATCACGTAGCATGAGTGACTGTCTCAGGGAGTATAATAATAATAATAATTTTTTATTTATACTCCGCCCTTCCTGGTTCAGAAAACCGGGCTCAGGGCAGCTAACAACAAATTTAAAACACTTAATTGATACAACAAAAAACAGCATAAAATACAGCATAAAACGTGAATTACAATAAACTCAGAATTCAAAAATCAATTTAGGGGGAAAATCCATCCAATAAACATTTGATGATCACCAGGGCTAGCTGGCTAAGTTAGTCCTATTTGGGCCAGTGAGGAGACCAGGGGAGAATTAGCTGTGGGATCTTCATAAAAAAGGGGAGGGGGAGGGAAGGAAGGGGAACAAAAGATCAGGCTAAGTTCAAATTGAAAGCTAGGCAGAATAGCTCTGTCTTACAGGCCCTGCGGAAGGAAGTTACATCCTGCAGGGCCTGGTCTCATGGGACAGAGCATTCCACCAGGTCGGAGCCATCACTGAGAAGGCCCTGGCCCTGGTGGAGGATAATCTGACTTCCTTAGGGCCCGGGACCTCTAAACTATGGTTATTCATGGACCTTAAGGTCCTTTGTGGGGCATACCAGGAGAAGCGGTCCCGTAAATACGAGGGCCCTAAGCCACAAAGGGTTGCCCAACAGCCCCCCGTCCAAGAAAGGAATAGCATGCCTTAAACTTAGGAAAGGAGTAGCAAAGAGCATGGCAGTGAATCCAGCCCACCTGGTCGTAGAACCGGTCAAAGGTCATGACAGGTCCGAAGAAAAAGAAGGGGAGGTAGAAATTGTATTTCAGGAGGGCGAAGATGGAGTAATTGCCTTCCTTCCTCTCGCAGTTCTCCAGGGCAAAACTCATGGCACGCATGATGCTGAAGCCGGTTCCTCCGTAAAAGAGAACATCTTGAAGATCAAAATTTCCTGTTACAAACCCATTCTGGACAAAAGAGAATAGTTACCACATATACCAAGGAAACGAGGTTGCTTCAGAGTCTCGTCTGGTGCATAGAAACCTCTCGGTTCGCCCTGTGAACTAGATCTTTCAGGCAGCTCTGATCTGAACATATTTTTGAACAAGCTATATTATAATATGGGACGCGGGTGGTGCTGTGGGTTAAACCACAGAACCTAGGGCTTGCCGATCAGAAGGTCAGCGGTTCAAATCCCCGTGACGGGGGTGAGCTCCCATTGCTCGGTCCCTGCTCCTGCCCACCTAGCAGTTCAAAAGCATGTCAAAGTGCAAGTAGATAAACAGGTACTGCTCCGGCGGGAAGGTAAACAGCGTTTCTGTGCGCTGCTCTGGTTCGCCAGAAGTGGCTTATTCATGCTGGCCACATGACCCGGAAGCTGTACGCCGGCTTCCTCAGCCAATAAAGCGAGATGAGCGCCACAACCCCAGAGTTGGTCACGACTGGACCTAATGGTCAGGGCTCCCTTTACCTTTACCTTTTATATTATAATATATCCCTTATTAACACCACCCCATTGGCGGGTTGGGCAGACGAGAATAAGTGTGGGTCCAACAGTCAAGAAGGCCGTTTTTGTCCGAGCTGTAGAGGGAAGTGAGGGGCAGATGGGGCTTGTCAACCTGGGAAGGGAGCCCATCTAGGAGAAGGAAAACTCTGATCCTGAACCTCTTGTGATTATACTCATTTGCAAGAAAGGCTTCAGGAGTAAACCCCAAAGAAAAATTGATACCTGCAGCCTTGCAGGACATCTCTGGGAGAAGAAAAGCCCAAGGAGCTTACACAAATCTGGAGTGAAGTCCCTAAGACGGTTGGATGGTGCCTTGTATGCTCCTTCCAGCAACTCCAGTAGCCAAACTGGGAGTTGCTCTGCTTCTTTGCTCTGCTTTTCTTTGGGCTATATCAGCAAAGCTGAGAGAGGGGTCTGGTCACCTGCGCCCCAGGGAGGTCACGTTGGTGCTACTAACGCAACAAAAACAACGCAGGAGGCAGCAGCTGCGAGTTACTGGTCTCTGCAGCCACAGCTGGCGCTGTGATTCTCCAGCGATGTGGCTGCACCCCTGGAGGCACACTTTGCCGTCTCTTGAGACAGGCAGATGCCAACGAGAGGTCCGGAGGGTGGCAACACAAGGGCCTTCTCTGCAGTGGCTCCCCTTCTGTGGAATGTTCTCCCCAAAGAAATTGGCCTGGCACTTCATTATACACCTTTAGGCACCAGGCAAAAACGTTGCTTCTTAACCAGGCCTTTGGCTGACCTGATCAGCATCCCATACCCTTTTAAAATGTGGCTGTTTTGTGGGGCGGTGTAATTATTGGGTTATTGCTTTTTATTTTATATGCCGTGATCCTTTTATGTGAACTGCCCTAAGACCTCCGAGTATAGGGCAGTATATAAATTCTTTTTTAAAAATAGTTTTTATTAAGAATTTCAACATAACAAATTATCAAAACATATTGTCTCCTTTTCATCCCCTCCCCCAATTTTTCCCCTTCCCTCCCCCCTGAGATTTCCCTCAGCTCCTCTCTCTGATTTTTCAACACATATTATTCTCTGCATATTATCAAATTGTCGAGATCCTTAAATCATCTGTCTATTAAGTTAACAATCAATAAATTTGTGTATGTTTCTTCAAAACCTGCCAAGGAGTCCAATTCGTTGTTGCTGTTGTTTAAGTAATTTGTAAAAAGCCCCCATTCTTCTTTAAAGTCACAGTTGTCCTTATCTCGAAGGCAATACAGTGGTACCTCAGGTTAAGTTCCGGAGGTCCGTTCCAGAGGTCCTGAAACTGTTCTTAACCTGAAGCACTACTTTAGCTAATGGGGCCTCCTGCTGCTGCCGCGCCGCTGGAGCAAGATTTCTGTTCTTATCCTGAAGCAAAGTTCTTAACCTGAAGCACTATTTCTGGGTTAGTGGAGTCTGTAACCTGAAGCGTATGTAACCTGAAGCGTATGTAATGTGTGGTACCACTGTATATAAAGTCAATAAACAACAACAACAACAACAACAAATTGCCCCTAAATGCCAGCCCCTGCTTGGCAGGGGGTTGGACTCGATGGCCCTTGTGGTCTCTTCCAACTCTATGATTCTATGATTCTATGATTCTATGGTAGGCTAGGCTGAAAGATAATAATAACTTGCTTAGTCTCCCCCAGTGAGTTCCATGGCCAAGTGAGGGACTTGGACCCTGCCTTGGATCTGGGCCTTCTTGAGCCCCCTAACCCAGAGATAGCCAATGTGCTTCCATCCAGAGACTGTTGGGTTCCAACTCCCCTTGAGCCCCAGCCAGCATGACCAATGGTCAGGGAGCCCAAGAACATTTGGAGGCCACTACATTGACCATGTCTGGTCTGGTCCTGAGGACTCGGCCAGCCAAGTCCCTCTTTGGCAGGTGAGGTAGCTGCACACCGACATACCTGCCAGCTGCTGAAGGGCTCCACCTTGAAGGAAGCCAAGCTGCAAAGGCCTGCGATGAAACACAGCCACTTCTGCTTAACGAGCGAGATGGTGTAGATGACCAAGCAGTGGGACAGGACAATCATCAGGTAAGTGCTGCCCAATGTTCCCAGCACGGCCAGCAGCCCGTACGCCATGTAAACCACAGACCTGTGCTGTGAGAGAACGAAATAACCTTTTGTCTACTTTTGTCACAGGCCTTTGTGGTCCGTTCTCTTCTGTTCATGGTCTGTGGTGCTAGAATACCTTCCTTCGCAGATGTCCATTTAAGCTGCACCTTCAGATCTCATCTCACGTTCTTGGCTGTGTGGAAGCCTCCCTTCCCATGGGGAGTTTCCCTTTCTCCCCAAAAACAGATTTCCAAGGGGGGGAAACCACACATTTCTGGAGATGGAGGAGAAATTTGGCTTGGTCTGCACTGGAATGCATTCTGACCTTGTTTTCACTCCCCCAAAACAACTGTCCTTCAAAAGTTGCACTCCTTCAAGTTCTCCAACCAAAAATGTACACAAAATGAAGTGTACATATTAGTGAAAATAGTGTGCAAACACACACACACACACACACTCTCGCATCTCCACCCCCATTGATCAGCCCAGACACTGAGGTCCAGCTCTGAGGGCCTTCTGGCGGTTCCCTCATTGTGAGAAGTGAGGTTACAGGGAACCAGGCAGAGGGCCTACTCAGTGGTGGCACCTGCCCTGTGGAACACCCTCCCGTCAGATGTCAAGGAAATAAACAACTATCTGACTTTTAGAAGACATCTGAAGGCAGCCCTGTTTAGGGAAGTTTTTAATGTTTGATGTTTTATCATGTTTTTAATATTCTGTTGGGAGCCAGCCAGATGGGCGGGGTAGAAATAATAAATTATTATTATTCCAAGTGCTCCAGATACCAGGTTGCACACCTAGGATTCTGGGATAAAGAAGCATGGCTTTTTCATTTGTCCTGGTTCCCCTGAACCTCTGCTTGGCTGCAGCTCCCATCTGCCCCAGCCAACATGGGGATGCTGGGAGCAACATCTAGGAAGCCAGAGGTTCTGCACACCTGCTCTGATTTCTGCAACATCTTTTCTTGTGGAGAGTTCTGGAGAACTTGGGAAGCCTGCCACACTTTGGGGACATTGGTGTATTATGGTCTCTGTGTGTGGTTTGGGAGCTGCACGGTTCAGGGGGAAAACAATGTTGTCCAGGGTTGTAAAGACTGCGGAGAGAATAACTGGGTGCACTCTTCCCACCTTGGATCAAATCTATGCTTCCAGGTGCCATAAGAAAGCTGCAGAGATAGCGCAGGATAGTGCGCACCCCAGAAATGATCGCTTTCAGCTTCTGCCTTCTGGAAGAAGGTACAGGGTTATAAAGACTAGGACTAGCCGCCTGAGAAACAGTTTCTATCCAAATGCGATTTTGGTTTTAAACGCAGTGTAAGGTAGTCTCTATGGCAGTATATTGTATTTAATTATGGGGTATCAGAGTTTTTAGAGGGCTAACCAGGCTGGGATAGCTGGGATAGCAGGCTTGTTGGTTTCTGAATGTCTGATGTAGATTTTCAGTTTTGTTGTTCTGTACGGGACAAAGACAATAAAGATTATCGTATCGTATCGTTTAGGTCCCTCCACTGCCCAGCCATGAACATTTGTGGTTTATAGTTTTTTGCATGGATCAGAATGGCTACATTTTGCATGCCTTGAAGTATTACAGGAGAATCTGTACACAGCAATGATGCATTATGTTAAAGTCGGGGCTTCCAGTGCAATCTCAACCAACTCTACTCAGAAATAAACCCCAATGAATTCACAGGGGCTTTCTCCCTGGTAAGTTGAGTTAGGACTGCAGCCTTATCCCCTGGGATCTTGACTCCCTCAAGGCTTCCTATTCCCCACCCACCTCAAATTGCTCACTATATGACTAGTTTCTAGGTGTATTCAGTGCAATGATCCTCAAGTCCATTTCTGTGCCTGATTACATTGCTTGTTTAATTGCTGCTAAAGTAAATTTATTTTGGCTGCTCGAAATTAATTCACTAGATAGCTCTGGTGTATGTGTGCCTATTTAACTATCATAGGGGAGTTTAAGTTGACCAGTTTTGATCAATATGTTCAACACATTTAGACAGGCTTGAGTCAACATTATTATATTTACATGAATATATTTATATGTTGTTTCTACAGAATCCACCATTGATTCTAACCCATGCCTTTTCCCCCAGTTCTTATTTCCATCCCCCTCATTTCCTGCTTTCTTTTAATTTCCACTGTTGTGTCTTCATATAATTTTTGTTGACCTTGGTCACGATCCAGCCACAGATGAAACACTTTTCAGACGTAAGCATTTGATCCAATTGCTTGTAACAGAAACCTGCCAGCAGGTGGTGCTGTAAGCCTTACTTAAGGTTAAAGGGCCAGAGTACTGTACTTGCTTACTTGAGGAGTCGTCATGGAGCAGATCTTGGCAAAGAGAACATGCCCAGAGAGGGCAAAGATGATGAAGTTTCTGAAGGAAGTGAACCACATGGCCCATTCAAAGTCAGCTGCATCCTGCAAGGACAGAGAACTGAAGCAGTAAGATCACAGAAGCTCAGATTTTCTGCTTTCACAAGTCCTGCCTCACACACAATCAACACAGCAGCCGGTCCTGTTTGCCGGAGAAAAAGTTGACCCAACTTTCTGGATGATTCCAGATAGGTGTTTATTTTGGGATCGGTGCAGGTTATTCACACAAGTTTTTCTGGGCATTCACACGGCATCACAAGCATCAAAATTTGATCCTCTAACCCACCCGTCCTGTCCATTTTCTCTCGATTTACCCTTCCCCTGTCTAGAAGAAGCAACCATGTCCCTGGTTGCTGTGCAGTTGCATGGAAATATTGCAAGCAAGGGTTCCAATGGCAGGCAAAACTAAGTGCATTGCATAGGCTTAATAGGGCCAGCCCAGTCATTAGGCAGAGTGGGGTCGCTGCCTCAGGCAGGTCTGGCGGCAGCAGTGAACCACCACTTGTGTTCTTAATATTCTGTTGGGAGCCACCCAGAGTGGCTGGGGAAAACCAGCCAGGTGGGTGGGGTATAAATAACAACTTCTTCTTCTTCTTCTTCTTCTTCTTCTTCTTCTTCTTCTTCTTCTTGGATAAGGGCCCCAGGTGTGTGGAAAAACCTCCCCCCAGTACATGATAGGGCTTGCCGTTCAGAAGGTCGGCGGTTCAAATCCCTGCGACGGGGTGAGCTCCCGTTGCTCGGTCCCTGCTCCTGCCAACCTAGCAGTTCGAAAGCACGTCAAAGTGCAAGTAGATAAATAGGTACCGCTCCAGCGGGAAGGAAACAGTGTTTCCGTGCGCTGCTCTGGTTTGCCAGAAGCGACTTAGTCATGCTCGCCACATGACCCGGAAGCTGTACGCCGGCTCCCTGGGCCAGTAAAGCGAGATGAGTGCCGCAACCCCAGAGTCGTCCGCGACTGGACCTAATGGTCAGGGGTCCCTTTACCTTTTACCTGCATATTTATCAGTACCAGTATCATAGATGCCAAGCGTGTGGGGCTGTGTGCGCTCCAGCCCCCACAACATTCCCCATGAAGGGGCCACGCACGCCGTGGGGCAAGTGCGCCCGATGTCAGCACACCCAAGGGCAGAACATATCCTTCCACCAAGCGTGCCCCTGAGGGAGCCCGCTGCGTCCGGCCTGCTGCCCAACTGAGGAGATGAGCAGCAATGCTGCCCCGACTTTTTTTCTTCTGTCCACCTCCCGGGTCAGACCTGACATAGGAGTGGAGCTGAGCTGGGATGAGGGAGCTGGCTACTCCCTCGTGGGGGCAGCCAGTGCCTCTCCTCCGCTCTGTCCACCCCTGAATCAGATTTGACCTGGGAGTAGAGCTCCAGTTGCGTGCTGGAACAAGACTCCAATGAGAAGAAGAAGAGTTTGGATTTGATATCCCGCTTTATCACTACCCGAAGGAGTCTCAAAGCGGCTAACATTCTCCTTTCCCTTCTTCCCCCACAACAAACACTCTGTGAGGTGAGTGGGGCTGAGAGACTTCAGAGAAGTGTGACTAGCCCAAGGTCACCCAGCAGCTGCATGTGGAGGAGCGGGGAAACGAACCCGGTTCCCCAGATTACGAGTCCACCGCTCTTAACCACTACACCACACTGGCTGAGGGAGCCCATGTGGGGGCGCCCAGTCACACTCCCTCCCAAAAATGCACCCTGGCCACACAGGCATGCTGACATCAGATGCATGCATACACATGAACCCGGGCACCCACTGTCCTGGGTCCAAGCCAGCAGGCCTGACCAGTATTCACTGCCCTCCATGCTGGGTTTATGGATGTTTTTCAGTGACAGGAGGTGATGCTGCTTTTGAACAAGAGCGAACATCTGTAGTAGCTGTGGCCCCATAGATCATGGGAAGTTATTGACTTCATAGATGCCCTGGCCCATAGATCTATGATTTCATAGATCTGTAGTCGTGGCAGGACTATAGAGCTAGATTCATGAGGCAGGATCCTTCACCCAATCATATTTTGTACACCCACCCAGATGACTTACCCATATGTCTCCCAGTCTTCATCTCTGCCTACACAATTCACACATACTCCACCCACATCCCTCCTTTGTGCACATTCACTGAACAGCCCCTCTGACAGCTCTGGAGGCAAATTTTGGCAAATTTTAAGCAGGTGTGAATATTCATTGCGGCCCGGCCCGGCCCAGCCCCCTTCTAAGCAGCAACTGGCCAAAGATTGCCCCGAAAATTGTACCGCTCACCATTTTCCTGCCAAAGTAATGCCATCCTGGTTTAATGTTCTCCCGGAAAGCTTTTCGGTTCATGCTTTCTGAAAGAGAAAATGTGTTACTTGTTGGGGAAAGCACCGGGTCGCAACGAGGAAACACCTTGGCCCGGCCAATCTAGTGCCCTCCAGGCACTCTGAACTACAACTCTGTTATGTACTGAGTTGAATAGGATCAAATTGCAGCAGTCTGATTGGTCCTAGAACAATAGGATCCAGACTGCAGTAGTCTGATTGGTCCACAGGAGCCACCCAATCCAACTCCAGGTGGAAGTGAAGCCGCAACCTGATTGGCCTACAGGAGAATCCCAGAATTAGCCAATCATGCAGGGACCATTGTGTAAATAATGTATATAAAGCAGACATTTAGGGGGAAATTGCATTCCTCACTACTATGAGCTGAATAAAGAGCATGAAATCCACACTCGACTCCGAGTATATTTCATATACTGAGCTGAATCCTAGAAAAATAGGATCCAGAATGCAGCAGTCTGATTGGTCCGCAGGAGCCACCCAATCCAGCTCCAGGTGGAAGTGAATCAGCGACCTGATTGGCCTGCAGGAGCAGCCCAGAATTAGCCAGTCATGCAAGGACCATTGTGTAAATAATGTATATATAGCCAGACGTTTTGGGGGAAGTTTCATTCATTGCTACTACAAGCTGAATAAAGAGCATGAAATTCACACTCGACTCTGAGTATATTTCAAATTCCCACTGCGTCAATCATCTGGCATCCTCCTGACCAGAGTTATTGCACCATGCCAGGATGGAGGGGAAGGAAAAGGCAAGGCAGTGGCAAGGTTGGTGCAAACACCTTGGCAGGACCACTAGATTGGCTCTGCCGGCGTGTGTGCACCAAGCCCATCTCTCCACTGCACCCTTCTCTTTCCCCATGTTGGTACGCTGCAGCAACTCAGCCAGATGGTATACTGCGGTGACTCGCCACACTGTCCGCTGCCCTTATTTGATCACCGGGGAAAAGAGTCCTGTCCACAATCGGTTACTGTCATTTTGTAGTACACAACTACATGCTCTGGGTAGCTTCTGGTACCTGCCACAGACAAAGGATGGAGCCAGGGGTAAGTCAGGGGGTGAACTGCACAGGTACGAAAGTGGCACACCGCCATGTTGCTACAGCAACACACCATCAACTCAACTTGGCACAACAGAGGTGATGGGGTGGCGGGGAATGAGCCACACACAGAGGCCTGCACCCTTGTGTGCAACATCTGTGCAACGGCGCACTGGGGCTGAGCTTAGAAACCTGCCACCCTACTGCGCATGCCCTGGCGACTCCAGGGAGCCTAGGCAGGTGCCAGAATGCTGACCTTTACTCCAAGCGTTATGGAGCAACTTCAAAACTTCTGGCCAAATGCTTGGCTTTGGCTCAACAGGCTCTGTCCTTCCGTTTTACCCTCTTAATCCCCCTTCCCAAATGCAGCCAAACTTTAAGTTGCCTTCCCAGCCTCCCTGTATCATTGCACCACTGTCTGTGTTAAATCCCAAGACTCATGTAGCTCTTTAAGGAGCACAGGGTGCTAATACCACAGTGTAACTACTGTATTTTCCGCTCCATAGGATGCACCGGATGATAAGACGATGAGACGCACCTAGTTTGGGGGGGAGGAAACAAGAAGAAAAAAATTCTGAACCCCAGAAGCCAGAACAGCAAGAGCACTGCCCTGCGGAGGCTTTGCGCAGCTAACCCCAAGCTGCGCAGCGCTCCGTCTCCCTGTTCTGGCTTTGGGCTTAGCTGCGCAGCCTGCATTCACTCCATAAGACGCACACACATTTTCCTTTACTTTTTAGAAGGGAAAAAGTGTGTCCTATAGAGCAAAAAATATGGTATACAATGAAAACTATTGTTATTGTTGTTAAAAAGCAAGGGGCTATATTTTCCCTTGCTGTCGGCAGGCTTAAGGCTTCTCCACACTGATGGGGTGGGGCTGAGGGTCCCCCCCCCTCTACATGTCATTGATGCAATGAGTGTCATTAATAATAACAATAATAACAACAACAACAATAATAATAATTTATTATTTATACCACACCCATCTGGCTGGGTTTCCCCAGCCATTCTGTGTGGCTTTCAACAGAATATTAAAATACAATAATCTATTAAACATTAAAAGCTTCCCTAAACAGGGCTGCCTTCAGATGTCTTCTAAAAGTCTGGTAGTTGTTTTTCCTCTTTGACATCTGGTGGGAGGGCGTTCCACAGGGCGGGTGCCACTACCGAGAAGGCCCTCTGCTGGTTCCCTGTAACTTGGCTTCTTGCAGGGAGGGAACCGCCAGAAGGCCCTCGGAACTGGACCTCCGTGTCCGGGCAGAACGATGGGGGTGGAGACGCTCCTTCAGGTATACTGGGCCAAGGCCGTTTAGGCTTTAAAGGTCAGCACCAACACTTTGAATTGTGCTCGGAAACGTACTGGGAGCCAATGCAGATCTCTCAGGACCAGAGTTATATGGTCCCGGCGGCCACTCCCAGTCTAGCTCCCACATTCTGGATTAGTTGCAGTTTCTGAGTCACCTTCAAAGGTAGCCCCACATAGAGCGCATTGCAGTAGTCCAAGCGAGAGATCCATCTCAGTGGTGGACTTGACCAGATCGTCCACACACCGTTCGGCTTTATTTGCGGTTCTGCAATGCTTCCCTGGTGCTACTGTGTTCTTTCTGCCTGGAGGGGCACTTACTCTTTAGCACAAGAAAAGTACGAACCCACCCCCAGCCTGAAAAAAAAAGAAAAAGCTTGTGGCACAAAATTATACAGGATTTCAGTGGGAAGTCAAAGGGCATGAGCTGATGGGGAACAAAGCTGTCCCCTAAACCTTTGCAGGGGCAGGCAGAATCGAAAGTGTGTTTGCATATATCTGCCTCAATACCCTTATAAGAGCCTAAGATGAGCTGGATCAGGCCAATGGCACATCTAGTTCGGCATCCTGGCTACATTTGAGCCTTTTGGGAGGCTCATTTCTTGGAATTTGCCTTCTTTCACTGGATGGAAGCTTGAATATTATTGTGTTACCAGAGCTCTGAATCTTTTCCATTTTCGTTTCTGTTTATTCACGTTATTTCATTTGTAGTGGTACCTCTGGTTAAGAACTTAATTCATTCCGTTCTTAACCTGAAACTGTTCTTAACCTGAGATACCACTTTAGCTAACTGGGCCTCCCGCTGCCACCGTGCAATTTCTGTTCTCATCCTGAGGTAAAGTTCTTAATCCGAGGTACTACTTCCGGGTTAGTGGAGTCTGTAACCCGAAGCATTTGTAACCCGAGGTACCACTGTATATATCCCACCTTTTTTTCAAGGAGCTTAAGGCAGCATACAGAGTTCTCTATCCCATTTTATCCTTTCAGCAACCCTTTGACATAAGTTAGGCTGAGAGTAAGTATCTCTCCAGCTAGCTTCATGGCTGAGTGGGAATTCGAACCCGGGTCTCCCAGGCCCTGGTCCACCACTCTAACTGCTGCACCACACTGGCTCTCAATATGTTTTGTTTATATGTTTATTTATAAAATCATCTCTCTGCCTGGTTCTCAGGAGTCCATCCAGGCCACGCCCCTTCCCAGGCCACGCCCCTTCCTGAGCCACACCCACACCCGGCCTTGCACCCTTGTTGACTGTTTTTGCCCAGCTATAATGCACCCTTGTCCTCTGACAGAACTTCAAGCCTGCCTGGATGGACAATAGAGAGGGAGGTGGAAGCAAATTAGCATTTGTTGCTCCACCCACTTTGGCTTATGGCCCCGCCCACCCTGGCATGTGGCTCCAAGAAGCTTGCCCAGGAGGTAATGTGGCCCTCAGCTGAAGAAGAAAAAGAGGCTCTCCGCCCTTGTTTTATAGGACAAGTGGGAAAAGGGAGATGTCCTCTCCTCTGGCCCAACTGACTCAAAGTCCCATTCTCTTGGCCTTGACTGGACGGAAAGAGTTACCTCTGGAGCTTTCGAAGATCTCCTGCCCGCTGTAAACGATGGCACCTGCCACGACCAGAGCGTAGAGCCCCAGCTCGTAAGTGGGCAACTGCGCTTTAATGCCCATGTTGGAGAATCGCTGCTGCCACAGAAGCCAACTCCAAGAGGATCCAGATCTGGAGAGGGAAGGAAGCAGGGCGAGATACCTTCACATTTCACAGAGTTGGTTGTGGGTTCCAAGGCATCGCAGGAGTTATTCTGGCCGCAGAGCTGTCTTCATTCATACATGCACAGGGTGAATATTCCTAGCACAAGATGCAGCTGTCCCTAGTCTAATGGTTATTGGTGGCACTATGGGTTAAACCACAGAGCCTAGGGCTTGCCGATCGGAAGGTCGGCGGTTCGAATCCCCACGACGGGGTGAGCTCCCATTGCTTGGTCCCAGCTCCTGCCAACCTAGCAGTTCAAAAGCACGTCAAAGTGCAAGTAGAGAAATAGGTACCGCTCCAGCGGGAAGGTAAACGGTGTTTCCGTGCGCTGCTCTGGTTCGCCAGAAGCTGCTTAGTCATGCTGGCCACATGACCCGGAAGCTGTACGCTGGCTCCCTTGGCCAATAAAACGAGATGAGTGCCGCAACCTCAGAGTCGTCCACGACTGAACCTAATGGTCAGGGGTCCCTTTACCTTTACTTTGCTACACCCACCCAGCCACCCCTTGGCCAGTTCCTGCACCCTTAACAGAAGCTTTTTCGGCCATGGCCCCGACCTGGTGGAACACTCTGTCACAAGTGACTAGGGCTCTGCGGGATTTGACATCTTTCCACAGGGCCTGCAAGAGAGCTGTTCCACTGCCACCTATGCACACCCAGCTCTGGCTGAAATATCCTACCCACAACTTTATCTGGCCTCGAACTCGCTGTTATCAGCTGCCCACAGTAGCCCCGGCTGCTGTTATCTTCTCATCGGTCACATTCCCACAGAGTTAATAACTTAATGGAAGGCCACACCCAGCCCCAGACCCCATGCAGACAGGCAACTTCCCAAAGCATGAACAAGCAGATGTTCTTGAGATGTCCTACAAACTTCATGCACCCAAGGGAGCCAGCCCTGTTGGGTTCTGCTCGTTCTTTGGACTGAACAGCACAGTCAGCGCAGAAAGGAATAGAAAGGAATAACATGGGAGTGACTCCAGAGCAGAATTGGCCCTGGACTGCAAAAAGCAATGATATTGGTGATCAGGGCTGGTCCGCCCATGAGACAGACTGAGGCAGCTGCCACCCCTGCTGATGAATGCAGCTCAGAATGGGAATCACTGCCTTCTTGAGCCCGTAGTTATTTTTTAGGATATTTAAAAATAAATAAATTATAAGTTGTGTTCCCCATGTTTCTCAGTTTGATCCTTTTACATAGTTTTGTATGCTGGGTGCAATTTTATGCATGGCGATTTGCTTTTTTAAAATTGATTATAGGTGGGCGATTCTTTATGTCAATCGATAAGTGTAAACTGTTTAATTATTATTTGACATCCTTTAATTTTACTGTTTACTATTATACTCTAATGGGTTATTGTATATTGCTTTATTTGATATGCTGTTTATTTTAAAGTTATTGTGATTTTTTTTATATACAGTGGTACCTTGGTTTAAGAACAGCCCTGTTTACAAACTACTCGGTATACGAACTCTGCAAAACCGGAAGTAGTGTTCCGGTTAGCGAAATTTACCTCGGTCTATGAACGGAATCCAAACGGGGGAAGGGCACTGGTGGCAGGAAGCCTCATTAGGGAAAGTGCACCTCAGTTTAAGAACAGCTTTGGTTTAATAACGGACTTCTGGAACGGATTAAGTTCGTAAACTGAGGTACCACTGTATATTGAATCAGATTGTTACTATTAATGTTTGATTTTTATGATGTTTTATATGTATTGGAAACCGCCAAGAGTGTCTGGGGCAACCCAGCCAGATGGGCAGGGTATAAATATATTATATAGTAGTAGTAGTATTTGCACACTAAGCAGCTGCCTTCTAGTACAGTGACATCTGTTAGAATTCCTGCTCCATGATTGCAGTCATTGGATTGTTGTCTATCACATGACGGTGTATGTTTTGACTCCACAGAGTGGGAAGTGACGAAGACAGGATGTTTGTGTTACTGTGTTCCATGAAGTGGGACTATTGTCCTTTGTTCTTTTTCTCTTTGCTGTCTGATGCTAGAGAGAGAAGGAGCCATGCTGCGGTGTTCCGTGTGTGTTTATATGTCAATAAAGTAGATTAGCCAAAATGCTGACTTGCTGAGGTCTGTCATGCAAGCTGCGAAGACTCTGCAGATCCCTAAGTGTGCCGATGTCTGTTGGCATCGGTCACTGTGATGTTCGGGTGGAAGAAAGCTTTTGAAGCTCCCGAACGATCAACCAGGAGGGAGAGAACATGCCAGTCGGGCATGTGTCTCTGCCAGGGTCCCCCTCGAGTGTAGGGACAAGCTCTTCTGCCAGCTGAGGGAGCTCTTTGTAATGTACGATTGCATCTTATGTGCATTTAACTTGCATGATTTCAACCATACACGGCTGAAGGCCGTCTGGTTTAAATTGTGTGTGTGAAATGCAAAGAAAGCAGAGATCTTAAATGTTCTTCATGTGCCAGGCTCATTTGAGGTTACTCAGCATGTAAAGAGCTGTTAAGTTCTCCACCTTGCTGGGGTCCTGCTCAGTGTGCCGCCTCTCATGTGAGCCCCCCCAGAACCTGCTCTCTACGCGCCGGGTAGCTGGAGCAAGGAAGAGGTTTTAAGCTGTCCAACTTGCTTGCTGGGCAAGGTGAGCTTGCCTCTAGGAACAGGGGGTGAGGTTTTCTCCCTTCCACACATCACCTGCAAGGACCGTTCCAAGGGATCGGGAATCCGCAATTTTCGCGCACACACAGAACCCTTGGATCCAAACCACCCATGTAAGATTCACTTGTGCTGTCTGTCCATGGGGAAATGTGTCAATCTGTCTTTTGCCCCGGGCAGCAAAATGTCTTAGGCATAATAATCAGTGCTGGATTTATGTATAAGCTAAACAAAGCTAAAGCTTAGGGCCCCACTCTCTTGGGCCTCCTACCAAAAAAAAATTAAAGGAAAAAATACTGGATGTACATTTCCAAAATATAAGATAAAAAACAAATAAAATAAAACCTACATACAGCAACTGTGTTTTGTGTTTTGTTGGCTCTTATGATGGAAGTCATGGGCCCCGCCTGCTAGCCTGCTCCCTAAATTATCACTGGTTTAGATACCTATTAGGTCCATTAAATTACCACATAGCATATATTCAACACACAAAACAGTGCCAATTTGTTGTTGACAAAGGACAGCTGGACATATAAAGGGCCCCATTACCTTCAGTAGCTTAAGGCCTCATCAAACCTAAACCCAGTCCTAATAATAATAATAATAATAATAATAATAATAATAACCCAGATTCTATAGTTTTTAACACCAGCCTGGCACTCTGAAATCTACATGCTATTGATTTCAGTGGGATACAACAAGGGATGGGGAACCCACAGCCCTCCAGATGTTCCTGAACTTCAATTTGCATCAGCCCAAGCCGGCAGGACCAGTGGTTTGACTTTGGAATGGTGGGAGTTAAAGTTTGGTAACACCTGGAGCCCCACAAGTCCTCCATCCCTGGGACACAGCCAGCCATGCACTCTGTTCTTTGACTGAACGCAATGCTGCTACTTAAGGGTGCTTTAGCTTCTGGCTGGATCGGGGCCATAATTTTTTTTTAGTAGGCCCATGCAGCCACGTACACAACTTTTTGTCATGCCTTCACGGATATGGTATATTGTAGTGTGCAGAGGATGCAGCTCGAATAATAATAATAATAATAATAATAATAATAATAATAATAATTTATTTATACCCCGCCCATCTGGCTTAGTTTCCCCAGCCACTCTGGGCAGCTCCCAATCGAGTGTTAAAAACAATACAGCATTAAATATTAAAAGCTTCCCTAAACAGGGCTGCCTTCAGATGTCTTTTAAAGATAGGATAGCTGCTTATTTCCTTCACATCTGAAGGGAGGGCGTTCCACAGGGCGGGCGCCACTAGCGAGAAGGCCCTCTGTCTGGTAACCTCACTTTTCACAATGAAGAAAGGACCTCAGTGTCTGGGCTGAACGATGGGGGTGGAGATGCTCCTTCAGGTATACTGGGCCAGGGCTGTTTAGGGCTTTAAAGGTCAACACCAACACTTTGAATTGTGCTGGGAAACGTACTGGGAGCCAATGCAGATCTCTCAGGACTGGTGTTATGTGGTCTCGGCAGCCGCTTCCAGTCACCAGTCTAGCTGCCGCACTCTGGATTAATTGCAGTTTCCGGGTCACCTTCAAAGGTAGCCCCACGTAGAACGCATTGCAGTAGTCCAAGCGGGAGATAACCAGAGCACGCACCACTCTGGCAAGACAGTCTGTGGGCAGGTAGGGTCTCAGCCTGCATACCACATGGAGCTGATAAACAGCCGCCCTGGACACAGAATTGACCTGTGCCTCCATGGACAGCTGTGAGTCCAGAATGACTCCCAGGTTGTGCACCTGGTCAAGGGCAATTACCCCATTCAGGACCAGGGAGTCCCCCACCCCCGCCCACCCCCTGTCCCCCAAAAACAGTACTTCTGTCTTGTCAGGATTCAACCTCAATCTGTTAACAGGAAGCTCACAATGGTTAGAGCTACGGGTTGTTGCAGCACCTAGTTAATCTCTGCTTCTGCATAGGGGTTACCATCAGGGAATATCTTTGAAGCAGGGAAGGTCCTTGCTTAGCTGAATGACAGACCTTCCAAGTGTCCCTATTTTCCAGGGACAATCCGGGATTTACAGAAGCCGTCCTGGTTTCTGATTTGATCCTGGAATGTCCCGCATTTCCTTAGGACGTCCCTATTTTCGCCAGATAAATTTTGGAGGGTATGGAATTATGTGGCCCCTGAGCCGAGGAGATAAGTAACTATACAACCTTTAGAAGACATCTGAAGGCAGCCCTGTATAGGGTTAGGGTTTTGTAATGTTTAATGCTTTATTATGTTTTTATATATGTTGGAATCCACCCAGAGTGGCTGGGGCAACCCTATCAGATATGCGGAGTAACAGTAGTAGTAGTAAAGGTAAAGGGACCTCTGACCATTAGGTCCAGTTGTTGTAGTAGTAGTAGTAGTAATAATAGTAATAATATTACAGTGGACGCTCGGGTTGCGAACGTGATCCGTGCGGAATGCACATTCGCAACCCGCAGTGTTCGCAACCCGTGCCTGCGCACGCGCGGGTTGCAATTCAGCACTTCTGCACATGTGCAAAGCGCAATTTAGCACTTCTGCGCATGCGCGGCCACCGAAACCCAGAAGTAACCCATTCCGGTACTTCCGGGTTTTGGCAGTCCGCAACCTGAAAAAACGCAACCTGAGGCGTCTGTAACCTGAGGCATGACTGTATTGAAAATGAGGTACCTAATTTCATCAAAGGAAAACTGGAGGGTGTGGAACAAGTTAGAAAGTGCCCTCAATGCAGCAGAGCTGACTTGTCACAATTTTAAAGTAAAAAAATTCTGTCTTAAGAGGGCTAAACCCCCCACTCCTGCACAGACACATATACGGCCCCAGTAAGGCCAGAGGTCAGAATGACCTAATTGCACCCCTGCCTTTGCCTCAATTAAAAAAAACCAACCCACTGTTCTCTGGTCCTGGAAGAAATGATCAGGTGTGTTAATTCTACTGGCTCTATCCTGCATAGATTACGCCGAATGTTTTTTTAAAGGGAAGCTGCATTATTGATCACGGTGGCGAGGGAGGGAGACAGTTAATGGAGCCTGGGTCTTAAATAGCATAAGGCAGGCAATGGCACTGTAGCTGGGGTGAGGCGGGGCGGAGAGGGAAATCATCCGCAAAGCAGCCGTCCTGTCCAATTTTAGCTTAGTAATTGCTCTATCTGCAGCCGGCGGCGCAATGTGATAGCAGAGGCGATCGTTTTCCTGGGGCAGCCTCTGACAGGCGCTCGGAGATGCACTGAGCGTGGAAGTTTTACGGCCCTTTCGGATGAGCTTTCTTTGCCTGACTCTTTTGTTGTTGTTGCTCCAGTGCACACACCTGCATGTGACGTCCCAAGGACCTCTCACCGTTGCGATGCCAGTATATTGATATCGAAGCTTCTGCACTGTGGACGAATGCCATGGCCAGAAGCAGTTCCCTCTGACTTGCCCTCCGCACACCTCCCTCCTTCCAGCTGAGCGCACATGCTGTTTAACCCTTCGCTAGCCGGCAGCTGTGCCACTAGCGAATCCCATACAGAAGCGGCGGCGGCTGCAGGGGACAACCGGCTGGCGACTTAAACCACGCGCCAGATTTTGCCCTACCCAAACCCCCTTGGCAGCATGCAGATTCCCCTCTCACTGACCTTGAGAAACAAGCTGGCCGAGTTCAGCACCACCACCGGCCTGGAGAATAAAGGGGAGGTCTAGGATAAGAGGAGGCAGAGGAGGAGGCTGGGGTAACCTCTGTTTGAAAGTCCCAAGTTTAGATAGACATGAATGAAGGAGAGAGAGAAAAAGTCCTTCTGTGAAAAGCACCTGGTCCAGTGGTTTTTGTTTGTGTGTTTCTTTTAAAGGAGTGATCGGCCGGTGGGTATTCCCCCCCTCCTTGGCAGGTCCCTGATGTCAGTTTAGCAAAGAGTGGAAGGTGGCCGGCTGCAGATATTTTTATTTTGGAGGACCACTGCAGAGAGAGGGGCTGGCCCAGGAGCTGCCTGTCAAAAGGACTGCTGAAGACAGCCCAAAACAGCAGCAGGAGCAGGAGCGGGAGCAGCCAAAGTTAATTCAGGACAATGTGAGAGAGGAGGACAGAGGAGCAAGGCGAAGCCAGCAGCCCCAAGGTGCACAGATACCGGCTCGCTCACAGCGCTGCTACCTGGCTGCTGCTGCTGCAAGTCCCGGGCCAGCAGGATTGAGTTGCTTCCCTGGGGTGCGCTTTGCTGCTGCCCGTAAGTGTCGGAGGCAGTAAATCAGGGCCACTCGACACCATCCCTGAATATGCAGCTAGGGAAATGCAGGAGGGAGCTTGTCTCCAGTGTGACTGTCATTATTTTGCAGGAGGGGCTCAGGCGCATATGCCGGAACCTTAGCCATGCGCAGCTGAATTGGATGAAAGGGCTTTGCTGCGCTAGCGCAACGAAGCCACTTTACAATAAACCTTGGGGCTTTTTGTGGTTCAGAAATGCACCGAAGCAGGATGCACTGCAGGGTGAATGGTTCAGTGTCTCCCCATTAACTAACCGGAAGAATTTATGTTATTTCATTCATTAATATCCCACCTCCTCTCCCCCCACCCCGGTCTGGGGCTCAAGGCGGCTTACGCAGATTAATAATAATAATAATAAATTTTATTTATACCCCTGCCCTCCCCGGCCAGACCTGGGCTCAGGGCAGCTAACACCAGTAAAATGACAGTAAAAACGTAATGGGGGGGGGTGTGCAATTTAAAATACAGGTTAAAATGCAATTTAAAATGCAGCCTCATTTTAAAAGTAGCCCATGGATCAAAACCATAAGGGGAGGGAAACATAAGGGTCAGACTGAGTCCAAATCAAAGGCCAGGCGGAACAGCTCTGTCTTGCAAGCCCTGCAGAAAGATGTCAAATCCCGCAGGGACCTAGTCTCTTGCGACAGAGCGTTCCACCAAGTCGGGGCCAGTATTGAAAAGGCCCTGGCCCTAGTTGAGACCAATCTAACCACCTTGCAACCTGGGACCTCCAAAGTGTTGTCATTTCTGGACCTTAAGGTCCTCCACGGGGCATACCTGGAGAGGCGGTCCCGTAGGTATGTGGGTCCTAGGCCGCACGTGAAACAAGCTAGTGAAACAAGCTGAGAGGCATAGAGAAGACCATCATTAAAATGTCATTAAACACTGATAGAAGTGAAATAGTATAAAAAGATCCGTTCGAAACGCAGACAATAAGAATAACGACATGACAGCACCAGCCCTTTCCTAAAAAAGGAAAACGTCAGTTTCCAAAGGCCTGTTGGCAAAGAAGGGTCTTCACCTGCTGGCAGAAGGACAGAAAGGAGGGAGCCAGCCTAGCTTCTCTAGCAGGGAGTTCCAAAGTCTGGGAGCAGCCACCACTGAGAAGGCCCCGTCTTCCATCCCCACCAAGCGTGGCTGTGAGAGTGGTGGAACTGAAAGAAAGGTCTCCCCCAGAGATCTCAGAGCCCGGGCATGTTTGTATGAGGAAATAAGAACTTTCAGATAGTCTCCTAACAACTCTCAGCACCCTTTATAAACTACACTTCCCATGATTCCTTTAGGAGAAGCCATGGGTGTTTAAAGTGGTATTACAGTGCTTTAAAGGGCGCTGTGGGTTAAACCACTGAGCCTCTTGGGCTTGCCGATCAGAAGGTCGGTGGTTCGAATCCCCATGACGGGGTGAGCTCCTGTTGCGCGGTCGCTGCTCCTGCCAACCTAGCAGTTTGAAAGCACGTCAAAGTGCAAGTAGATAAATAGGTACCACTCCAGTGGGAAGGTAAGCGGCATTTCCGTGTGCTGCTCTGGTTCGCCAGAAGTGGCTTAGTCATGCTGGCCACATGACCCAGAAGCTGTATGCCGGCTCCCACAGCCAATAAAGCGAGATGAGCGCCGCAACCCCAGAGTCGGCCACGACTGGACCTAATGGTCAGGGGTCCCTTTACCTTTACCTTTACAGCGCTTTAAATGTGCTCATAGTCTAAAAGCTTTGTGGGAGAAAATGAAGCTTCGCAAAGTTCAGCTTTGTGGATGAATGCTGAATCAAGAGGTCATCCGGCGGAGCCTTGACATACGATATATAAAATCTACTAGATCTACTAAAAACATACAATCACAACAAAAACGGCATGGCACTAGCCCTCTCATTAAAAGCAGTTGGTTCCCAAAAGTCTGTTGGGACAAGAAGGTCTTCTCCTGCCAGCAGAAGAACAGCAAGGAGAGAACCAGTCAGCTGCTCCAGGGAGGGAGTTCCAAAGTCTGGGAGCCACCACCGAGCAGGCCCTCTCCTGCGTCCCCACCTAGCATGCCCTCGAGGGTGGCAGGACCTCCCCTGAATGTGCCCCTCAGGCTGCAAAAGGCTCTCCAGCCTTAGATTTAATTCTGAGCTATGGCTTTTAGACACAGGAAGCCACTGACCTATTGTATCTAAGCCAGTTTGGGACCTGGGTGGAAGAAAGGTGCAAAGGAGTAAAATTTAAACAATGCGCTTTGGAATGGGGAAATGGTGAGCACTTACCCTCAAGTTCCTGCTATTGTTAACGCTCCCCCAGGCAGAGAGAAGGAAAACTCATTACTCCTTCTTTAAAGGGAAGCGAGATCTGGTCCTTGGCTCTGCAGTGCAGCAAAGAGAGGCCTGGGAGGTGGCGAGGAACCCATGCAGGGACGTGAGCAAAATGGGCAGCAGAAAACTCTTGGCTCGCTCCCTCTCTCTTCCTGCCAGCCTAAGGCTGAGGTAGGAGCTGTTGCAGAGCCTGAGTGTACCCATAAGACTCTAAAGGCTTAAAGGGAAAGCGTGTGGTTTGTTTATGATTGTTCAGAACAGCCTTTGCCAACCCGGTGCCCTCCCATCAAATCCCAGCCAGGATCCCCAAACATTTGGATGAGGGCACCAGGTTGGGGGACGCTGGCTTAGAAAAATTATAGCCTGCTTTTCTCATAAAGTGGCATATTATACTGTACTTTTCCATGTATAAGACTAGGTTGTTGTTGTTTTTACTTTAAAATAAGGTTAAAAATCTGGGGGCGTCTTTAAATTTAAAGACTATTTAGTTAAATATGTTAAGTTGAATTAATTGGAGAAGCTTGCAAATACCAGATAGGCTTAGGATTTAAATATGTAATGGGATGAATTACAGTGGTACCTCGGGTTACATACGCTTCAGGTTACAGACGACTCCGCTAACCCAGAAATAGTGCTTCAGGTTAAGAACTTTGCTTCAGGATAAGAACAGAAATCGGGCTCCGGCGGTGTGGCGGCAGCAGGAGGCCCCATTAGCTAAAGTGGTGCTTCAGGTTAAGAACAGTTTCAGGTTAAGAATGGACCTCCGGAACGAATTAAGTACTTAACCCGAGGTACCACTGTAATATGTTTAATGTTGAACTGGAAAGAAAGAAAGATGTTAAGTGATCAAGTTAATTTTTTAAATTATATTGGATTTGGAAAGCCGTTAAAATGATATACATTGAAATTCAACCAGGGGGACACGAGGAAGTCACTTAACAATGTAGCTAAGTTTGATTTAATACGGTGGAGATTATTTTTGTTTGTTTGTTTGTTTGTTCGTTTAAATTTTTTTTTTTTTGAAAATTAATAAAAAAAATTGAAAAATAAAATAAAATCTGGGGGTGTCTTAACATGGATAGTGCATATGCCTATTTTATTTACACTCCGCCCTCCCCAGCCAAGACTGGGCTCAGGGCGGCTAACACCTGGTATAAAACATTTCATTGAAATACAACCTTAAAAACAAGATTAAAATACAACATTAAAACATTTAAACATTAAAATGCAGCCTCCTTTCAGTGGAAACTCAAATCAAAAACTTTTTTGTGGATAACAATGTCAAGTCTTCACCAAGGCTTTAGTGTAAATTGACTCAGAAGGAGCCTCTTTGTTTAAAATCTACAGCTAGGGATTATCGTATCGGAACATTTTTGAACATGAGCAATACTCTGCGATTGGTATTTGGTGAAATGCTAAATGTCAGCAAGCTGGGGCTTATCTTGGTGGATACCTTAACAAATTGATGGATTAAAAAGTTGTTGCATATGCTTTGCTCTGTAGATGAATTCATTTTTATACGCCACAACCACAGTGAGAATATTAAAATGCGCAAAAATGGCAAGATGCAGGAATCCGTGACCAGGGAGAAGAGTCGGTGGAAGAAGATTGGAAGAAATTTAAAGACTATTTACAGAAATATTGCAAAATTTATGAATGTTAGAATGATGTTGGATTGAAGTTAAGTGGTTTCTAGCTGTATAGGTACAAAAGAATATGGAAAAATTGGTTTTTAATATGTAAAAATTTAATGTTATAATATATCAAGATTAAAGATTAGGATTAAAAAGGAGGGAAAGGAATTGTTGGATTAACAAATTGAATTGGAATACAAAAGAGGGAGGTATGAGGAGGTCCGGGAAACAACTAAATGTAAAAGAAGTGATGAAAAGATGGAATTGTTTTTAACTGTTTTCTCTTCTTTTTACTTTGTATTTTTCCTTTTTATTGTTAATTTTTCATTTTTTTATTTTATTAATGTGATTTTTCTTCTTTTGAAACTTTAATAAATATTATTTTTTTAAAAAATGGCAAGATGCGGTGGTACCTACTAAAGAGGATCGGCAGCTGAAACTGATGGAACATGCTGCATTGGCAAGTTTAACAGGCAAAATTAGAGAGTTTGTAGACTGGTTAAAAAACAACTGTTGTAAACATGTTAAAACGCGTGGGCTTTGAATGAGAACAGTAAAATCGTATCTGAGAAAATTGTGGTGGGATTAACTATAATATGCAGCAAAATTTCGAAAATTTGAGGAAACCATGGAGGGAGGGAGGGGAAGTCCAATGATAATTGACTATTAATTGGAAAATGTTATACAGTGGTACCTTGGTTTAGGAACAGCTTGGTTTATGAACAACTTGGATTAAGAACTCTTCAAACCTGGAAGTTGGTGTTTTGGTTTGTGAACTTTGCCTTGGAAAC